TAAAAACTTAAAAATATTTAAATATTAAAATATAAATATTTAAGAAATAAAAAACAAACCTGCTTCTTTTATTCCCAGAGTTTGACAAATCATTATTAATGCATGAATAGCTTCTTTTCTACTTTCTGCCCATTTTAAAGTACTTTCTGATATTTTTGTACATTTAATAAGAGCTTCTATTATATCTTTTACTCTTTCACAAATTATAAATAAAGGAAAATAACCTATAAAAAAAAAATTATCAATTATTAATAAATAATTATTATCAATAAATAATTATTAAAATCAATTAATTATTTAAATTGTTGTAATAAAATTTTTTAACAACCTATTGCTTGTGCAAAACCTATTCGTACAAGTTGATTATTTGATTGTAAATTATCAAGATAACGATTAATAACAATATTGCGATCTTGAGTGTTTATGTTTGTATAGTATTTTCGAAAAAATTCTGTGTGTGCTTCTGCAGCTTTTATTTTTACTATAGATACTTCATGACCCAAACATTCTTCTAAAAGATTTTGCCAATCACCTGTAAAAATTATATTTATTTAAGTAATTTGTATATATATATAATATATTTATATTATTATTACAAATAATATATATATATTATCATTAATATCATATTATACATATACATCTACAATTAATTTCTGCATATGAATCTTTATAATTATATTTGAATATAAATAATTATATTTATTATAAATATTAACTTACAAATAGTTTCAATAGAAATAGGAAAATTAACAATTGAGCACTTTTTTATAAGCACAGCACATGCTTGTTTCATTAATTCTCCTCCTAGACCTTTGAATTGTCCTCTTTTTCTAAAAGTGCTAACTATATTTTTGATATTCTCTATAGCGAAAGGTCCAATTATATCTTCAATTTTTTCATTACAACTATTGAACAATGCTTCTAAAATTTCTGCAATAGCTAATACTGCACCATGTCTAATATTTAAATCAATAGAATTTAACATATCTAATAAATTTGGTAAAACTGTATCTCTAATATAATTAGAATCAATAGGAGTTAAATTAAAAAGCGTTTTAGCTGAAAGTTCTCTAATTGCTGTATCCCAATGTGTAATTTTTCTTGTAATTAGATGATCAATCAAAGATTTTGTATATTCTTCATATTGTGCAATTTGTGTACTAATTTTCAAATATGCATGATTTCTAACACCAACTTCAAAATAATCAGCAATTGTAAGTATTTCTATTCCATGTGGAAAATTTCCTTGTCTTCCTACATTTTCTTGAAATGCAGCAGAAGCAGCTCTTCTACAATTAATTTCTCGATCAAAACAAGTAACAACCAATAACATAGCTGCAATTTCTTTTACGTAAGGTTGAATTATATCAGGATCATATGCTCTGGGAAATGACCAACAAATATAACATGCAGCATCTCTGATTAAATATCCAATTGAACCATAAGCTCTGGGTTCATCAAATACCAAGGCTTGAAGAACAACTGGTATTACATCATTTAAACGATGAGGAAGAAGAAGGCCACGTCTTCCTAATTCTGCTAATGCCAAACAACCTCCATGCCAAGCAAAATCTGATTCTCTACCACAAAAAAGATTTAACACAAATCCCACAACATCATCTGCTAAATCCATTGGTAATCTTGCTGTTATTCTACCAATTCCTTTTGCAGCAGACCATCGTATTGTAATTGCTTTATCTCTAAGACCTTGTATAAGTTGTTCAATTATATCTTCTATTGTTGATGGAATATCTTGATCATCATGATTCAATGGAATATTTTTAGTATCTTCCATACTTTCTATGGTGTTATAATTAATATTAGTATTAGGTACTAAAGATATAGGTCTACTAGTTCTTTGATATCTCCATGAAGCCAACTTTGTTCCTAATAATACCAGTCCAATTCTTTGTACAACTTTCATTCCAAACTTACGAATAAGATCTGCAGGATTTTCATTCAAATGAAGTTGTAAAATTTTATCTAAAATTATTTGAATGTATGGTTTAACATCTTCTCTTGCACTATGTTTTAATATTGCTGCTATAACTGCTAATGGACCATGTCTTAAAGGATCATTTTCTGCACATTGTAAACTCCACATTATCATTTCTTTTAAATATAATTTTTTAGCATCTGATCTTGTTAAAAAATTAGCAATTAAAAAAACTGCAGCTGCAGCACAAGCATCTTTTGATAAGCAAAATAATTTGCATATTTTTAAAATTCTAATTGTTATCGATTGTTCAAAATTAACATCAGAAACTTCTAAACGTGAAAGTGGAAATGGTATTTTTGAAATTATAGAAAGCCAAATTAAAAGTACATATCGAGTTTCCCATGTTTCTACATCATTTGGATTTTGTTTTTCTAATAATCGCAAAACAGGAAGAAGATCAGCTACCTAAATCAAATTAAATTACATATATAAAAATTGAAATATAAAAGTTGTAAAAGATTCGAATAAATCTACATACCTCATGTGGAAGATATGTAACAATTTTCTTGTATGTTTTAACAGACATAACAATGAAAATATATTTGAAAGCATTATGTTGCATAATTTCTGTAGAATTTTCATCTTTAATGATATCAAGCAGTGGCTGTAAAATATCATCCATATAAGGATCCAAGAGTTGTCTCTGATCTTGATATTGTGATAAAATAAAATTAAATCGATCGCGATTTTTTTCAATAAGACTTGGAGAAAGATCAACTTTTTTTAATTCACCAATTAAAAAAGTCACTTCATTAATTTCTTTAAAAGCATTAAATCCACAACCAATTATTTCTGATTCTGAACAATCATTTAACGCCATCTTTTTTATTTTCGTATCGTTTTGTATTATTCGAAAAAGCAATTACAGTCAATTAAAATTCATTCCTATACAATTAAGTTTGTATATGAAGACTAAAAAATATGAAGAACAGAATCTTTCGAACGATTTCACGAAAAACGATGCCAAATTATTGCGCATGCGTGATGGTATAATAAAATTTCTATAATTTTATATAGTTTATTAATTATTTAAATTTTATTTATTTTTAATATATTATTATAAATATAATAAAAAAATCTTTTTTAAAAACTAGGAGTATATTAATAATTTTTTTAAATAATTGTAAAATTTCGTTTGAAATAAATTTGTAAATTAAAAATTAATAAAGTATCTAATAATTTTTTTATAAATATAAAAAAATTGTATGTAACCTATAATTAAATAATATAAGGTAATAAGATGTTTATATGATATATATAATATATATATAATAAATAATAATTGTGTGGCACATAAAATAACAAATCTGTAACAAAATGTTATATAAATTTTTTTTAAATAAGAAAATTGTTAATATAAAAACATTTCATTTGAGCGAATATTAACAAATTAGTTTTTTGAGATATTTATGAGTTAAAATTATGAATATAAATAAACATGTATATATATTTAACATAGTGATATCCTAAATTTATGAAATTATTTTTTAAGTTATATTTAATTTATATCTAGTTTAATTTTATTTAATTCATACATATGATAGATATTTTATTTAAAAGAGAAATAAATATGAATACTTACATAAATTCTTAAATTCATAGTTAAAAATAAAAGTAAAAATACTATTAGAATTAGAAATACATACATATATATGATAGTTATATGTATATTATATATATATATATTTTATTTTATTATGTCATTTATTTTATTATGTTATGAAAATGATAATTTCATTCCAATTATTTAATATATATACATATATTAAATTGAACATATTTATAATTCTTGTAAGTTATGAGAAATCAGAATTTTATTTTATTTAGATGTAATTGATTTTAAAATAAAAATAAATATTTTAAGATTGTATGATATTTTATTTATAATAAAGTTATGATTTCATATTTTTGTAATTTTTATCATATCTCGTTATATTAAAAAAATAAAATTAAATTTTAAAAATTAAATAAAATCAAAATAAAAATTTTGAATAAAAATTAATTATATATAAATATTTAATAAGATTCTCTAAGAACAAAGAATCAAATTCATAAAAATATAAATTTCTACATAATCTTATAAAAATTATAAATCACATTGCATTTATATAGTATTAAAAAAAATGTAATTTTATAATTTATACGTATATATGCCATAATTTGTTTCTCTATTTTTTTTTTTTATAAAATATATAATTTTTTATAATTATGTTTTTTTTACTTTATATTTAACTATCGTATAATAATTTATTTGTATCGAATAAAATTTTTCTTTCATAAAATATTAATATCAGTAAGAATATTATTGATTTGAATAAAGTAAAGAATTACAGCAAGTTAAAAATTAAAAATCATTAAATTATAATATAATATAGAGAAAATAATTGTTAAAAGAAATTATTCATTATTTATTAAGTACAATTATTTTATATGAAATTTTATATTGCATTTATGTGTTATGATTTTGAGCTTCTAAATATCTACTAATAGTATATATTTATAACTAATAAAATATAATTGTAGACAAATAAATTCATTAAATTAGAAAAAATGATACTATTTATACAAATATCAAAATGATGAAATAAATGAATATAATGTTTCATACATTCTGTATAAGTTTTTGTTTTAAAATTATTAAAATAAATTTATTTTATTATATCTTTTTGTCAATCAAATATTGTATTATATATTGAATATTTATATATATTAATAACTGCAATAATGATGAAAAAAGTAAAATATTTCTTTTTTTATCAGTTTCTATGATTAAATCTTATTGTTAACAATTTGTTGCTTAATATTGTGAATAAATAATAAGTTACTTCAGATGATATTTGTTATTATATATCTGAAAATGATACATATATATTTTTATAATATTTTACTAAAATTATTAACTTTAATTCTTTAATATAAATCTTACATAACAATATGTGCATTCTAAAATTTTGATACATTTTAAAAATTTATATAATATAACCTCTTATTTAATAAAAAAAAGAATCATAATACTAGTAATTTATTTCTTATTTTTTGAAATTTATTGAATTCTTGTATATTATTAAATCACATAATTTATTGTTTTAAAACTTTCAGCTCATAAGAAATATTAAATAACAAGTAAAAATATTTATCCGTGAACTGAAGGTGCTGCCTAGTACCATTTCTTCAAAGCGGTAGAATCAAGAACCTCTAGGTTTCGGAAAAATGGAGGTTGTTACTCAGTGGAAATTGTGAATCCATCTCGTTTAAGAAGATTTAAATCGCGTGATTTTTTCATAGAATAAGAAATTCTTAATATATTTTCTTGATTCCTGATATTTTATTTTCTTTATAAATCCGAAATGTAAAAAATCAAAACCGATTTTTACGTAGTAAAATGCAGGAGAGACGGTACATCTCTATTGTACGCTTTTCTCAATATACTTTTAAATCTAATATTTTTATTGAATATTTAACTATTCTACTTATCAATAAGAAAATAATTATTTCGAGAACATATTTTCACGTTTAATATTCTAATTTTTAAGTAATAGTTTCAATTTTATGATTATTTTTATTTTAATTTATTACTTCTTTAAAATAATCTAATTTTCTTCTATTTATAATTAATAGTCATATTATAAAATTTATTAGTTTTATAAATTTTTTACATTATAATAAGTTTCACTATTAAGCTTACATAATTCTATAAGATATTGTTTCTTTCAGTTTTAACAAGATAATACATTGGATGTATAATATTCAGTACAAAATGAAATCAATGAAAGCAAAGACAAAAGCTAAAAAACCAAATGGAAAATTTGGGAAAGTTAAATTTCCTTCCAAAGAAATTACTCATACAGATCAAGATTTATCACAACTATATCCACCAATAGACACAAGTATTTCAACTCTATATCGTTTGAGCAAAATTTTAGAAAATGGCAGTGATGAAGTTAAATCCATTCTAACATATGAATGTGATTTGTTATATGAATGTCGTGTATGTCGCAGTCTCTTTAGAAGTTTAATTAATTTTATTTCTCATAAACGTGTCTACTGTAAACAAAAATTTGATGTTACATTTGCCAAGAAATCTTCCAATGATTATGATATAGTATGTTCTATTTTATTATATTTTTATATAAAGATAAGATTACTAATGATTACTATTTATATTTATATTATAGTTTTATTAATATAATATATTTGAATAAAATATATCTAAAATTTTACATTTACTAAAGTAATCTTAAGTACATAGATATTTCATAATAAACCAGAATCTAAAAAAAAAAAATAGAAATTAGATAGATAAAAACATTTTCAAATAATTTTAAATTTTATTCAAAATTATATTAATAAATTATAAATGTGTTTTCAATTGAATAGTTATGAAATGAAATAATATAAAATATATAATGTTTCAAAACATACTCGTTTAAAGATTGAGTTTAATATATAATAATTTTATTTTTGTATTATAATGTTTTGTATATTATCAATAGAATTTGAAAATTTTAATAATATTAATGCAATATTTCATTTATAGTATCATTCATAGTATAATTCTTTAAAATAAAAATATTTTAATTAATAGATATATATTTAAAATTTATATACATATTCTTATATTATACTTATATATTTATTATATATACATTATATATTTAAATACATAAGTAAATTTAATTATTTATATATATATTCAAATAATAATAAAAACAATTTGTAAAATTTAAAAATGAAATAAACAATAATGTAATGTAAAAGATTAATTTTGCATAATTCTATTATATTTTAATTTCGAATATAGATTTTAAATGTATATTTTTTGTGTTTAATATTATATTTTTATGAAATTGTTTGTTTTGATTTATATTAAAAATATTTGAATTATAAATACATAATATAAAAAAATGATACTATTTATACAAATATCAAAATAATATAATATAAGTTTTATATGTTACAGACTTCTACGAGTAAATCAGATATACAAAAATCACAAAAATTATTTGAAGAGAGTTGTGGAAATGATAGAATTTTAAGAAGCCAAGTGTGTAAAGAAGTGCAGAAGAAAGATCTTACTACGGTTGTTAATATGTTACAAAAAAAGCAAATAGAAAATTTGCAAACAAATACAGAACAGTTGTGTTTAGAAATTATACATTCAAATTCATCAGCAGTTTATCAAACTGTCGAATCAGTTACTCCAAGTAAAAATCATACAGATTTAATGAAAGCACAGGTACAATTAATAATTATATATTAATAATATTATATTAATAATATATATATATATATATATAATTATTATAATATTAATATTATATATATAATTTAATTATGTTATGTATATAAATAATTTAAATACTCATAAATAATTAAAAATATAAGTATAATTATTTTAATTATTTTATTAATACATTAATATTTTATTATTGCTTTAATTTTAAATAATATTTAGATAATGGAATTAAAGGATACAAATGAGCAAACTGCAGTGTTAGGTGTGAATGGACGAGTTTTACAATCTAATAAAAAATTGAATAATAATAATACAACTCAAATTCATAATAATACAGAAATTGGTAGCATTCGTGAGAATGAACTTATATGTCGTATATGTATGTTTATATTATGTTTTTCTTATATATAAAGTAATATAAGTTTTCTTGCATTATAATTACAATATTTTTAATTTTTAGGTTATGCGAAATTTTCAACAAAAAAAACATTAACAGTTCATACAAGGACACTACACACATCTCATAGATTATGTTACCCTTGTCCTTGTTGTTCTAGTACATTTGCAAATACTTGGAGTGTTTATAGACATCTTTTTAAAGGTAAACAAAAATTTTATAACATTTTAATTTATATAATTAATAATAATAATTATGTTAATAAATTTATTAATATAATAATATAATTTTTAATTAATTAATTTTGATTTTATATTTTATAAGAAAGAAAATTAATTTATTTAGAAAGAAGAAAATAAATTTAATTATATAAAATTACATTGGAATATAAATTTTGTTAGAATGAAATTCATATTAATCTAATAATTTTATTGATATTAATCTATAATTTATTTCATATTAATCTATAAATTTTTAATGAAATTTTTAAATATAAAATATAGTTCATAGAAAATCTAATGAACAAGTACGGAAACTTAGACCACAAATACAAGAGAAAGCATTTATTAAGGATACTACAGCTGCTGAAGATTTACAAAAAGAAGATGCTAGTAAAACTTTAATAAATAATGCAGTAAGAGTTAATGAAACACAGGTATCTTAATTATTATGGTTATAATTTCATTAAAATATTGTTAATGTAAAACATAGCATTTTAATAGGAATGGATAGATCATTTAGAATCTGACACAGAACTACAAAGATGTGGAGGTTGTGGAAAAAGATTTGATAGAAAAGCAGCTTTATCAGCTCATTTGACATATTGTCATAGACGTGTTGCAGCATATGAAAATATAACTAAAATTAAAAAGATAAATAAAGTTTCATCAGATTGTACTTCAAATGAAAATATAATTATTAATTCAGAAACTCAAGAAAATAAAGCACAAGTTTCTACACAAATTAATAATACTAATGAAACATCTATTCGTGTGGAAGCAATTGCTAGTTTAAGTAAAGCAGATTGGGATATGTTGGGAAATGAAGAATTAATTTCACAAAATAAATCTAATGAAAATGTTCTCACAAATGGCATTCAAAAAAATGTAGAGGACAATCATTCTTCTGCAAGTGATATTTCTGATCCTTTAGAAATTCTATATACAAATATAAATAAACATAATGAAATAAAAAAAGGAAGTAAAAAACGAAAGAATAAGGATAGTATAAAGAGAGTGAATAATGCTGCAGGTAAATATATATTTGTAAAATTTAAAATATATATATATATATATATATATATATATAATATATAATATAATATAATATATTATATATAAATCTAAGAAAAAATTTATTCTATTATTTTTATTTGTTTTTTTATTTTATTTTTTAAAATATGTATTATGATATAATACTTTTATTTTTAGAAAATATTACAAAAGACATATCTGTAGAAATAAATATGGAGCACAATGTAGAAGAAAAATTAGATCATATATTATCTATGGAGAAAAAAATAACTTCGATAGTAGATTTTCAAAAGCTTCAGTGCCTTCCATGTAAACGAAAATTTCCTTCAGTAAATAATCTAAGAAGACATGCTGCCATTCATATTGGTTGGAATCGCTATCAATGTAAACTTTGTGACTATAAATGTTTTGATAAATGTGATTGCATAGCACATTGCAATAAAATACATAATGCTCAAAATAATCGTGCTCTTATAGAAGAAATGATAATTCAAATTCTAGATGATCAATATACATGTGATCAAAATATTATATCAGATGTAACAAATTTAGAAGAAAAAATTGATATTCCAAAAGTTGTAGAAGTTAATATTTGTGTTGAACATGTGAAACCAGAAATTCAAATTGAAGAAAAAAATATAAATATAACAGAAATAGAAATAATTGATAAAAATAATATGGAACCAGAAGTTCAAGTGGAAGAGAAAAGTATAAATTTAATAGAAACAGAAGTGATTGATAAAAGTTCAATAACTTGTTGTGAAAATGTAGAAACTCAAGAAACTTCGAATAATGATATTAAAGGACAAAATACATTAAGTCTAGATCCTGATCTTCGAAGAATGGTAATGGAAGTTATTTTTGGATCTTCTGAGATTCATTCTACAAAAGCAGATATAAAAGAAAGTATATCTTCAGAAAATTCTGATTTAAAAGTATTGAATACAGAGGATATTGAAGTACAAGGTCAAAATTCTATAAAGGAAAACGACATTAAATGCCTACAAGATTCAAAACCTCAACGCCCAATTCGTAATAAAATAAAACCTTTAAATAAAGATTTTATCTATGACTTAAAAGAAGTCGCATATCGCAAAGATTCTTTAATTATGAAATCTTTTAATAAATCACTTAATAAAAAATCTCCAGTACAAGAAGAAGATAATTTGGAAAAAGATTTAGAACAACCGTCCAAACGTTTTAAATCCATAGAAAATGATGAAATATTAATTCTTTGTGAAAATAATACTATCGTAGACAGATGTGAGATTAGTCTAGATAGAGATTTAAAAAATAATTTTTCTTTTTCTCAGTGCCACAATTAATTATTAAAAACTTCAAATATATTGAAATTAGTAAAATCTGTATTTAATCAAAAATAATTATTTAATCACAAATCAAATTTTTGGTAAATTTTTAAATTGTTATTCATAAATATATATATGATATATATTTATTTATTAATATTAATAAATTTAAAATATTTAAAATATTTTCAGATTTTCAATTTATGTTACACATTTTTAATAATTCAATTCTTTAATATATTGTTTTTTAAATAGATAATTGAAGATATTGAAATTTTTTACATATGTAGATGTATATAGAAACTGATTTACTATGCAATAAAAAAAAATGTATATATATTAGTATTCATTCTCAGAATATCTAATAGTTGCTTTATTTAAAAAATATTGTTATGATTTGTAGAGATAATGATTTTTACAAAATTACATGTTTTAGATATAAAAAACAATGAAAATAAATAATATTTGAATAAAATATATATATATTTATAAATATATATATATATAATATTTGAAATTAAAAAATTATTTGTGTTTCTAAGCTTGATTAAATACAAATTTATTATATAAAGTGTATGTACAAATTATTACGTAAAATATTGCAATATTTTTATTGTTTAATGTTTAAAATTAATTTAAAATAAATAAATCATTCTTTTTATTTTATATTTAAATTAAATAAATAATAATATAAATTAATCTTTATTTTAAATTTGCTCATTTATTGTATTTTAAATTAATGCATATAAAAATGTATTATTTGTTTGAATATGAAATTAAAAAATATTTTAAGTAATATGTTATAAAAAAACTAATAATTATTATTTAATAAAAATTAAATATGGATAATCTATATATATATATATATATATAATATTGATACATTGTAAGCACATATATAAATAAATTATAAAAATAAACAGTTAAATTTATAAAAAAAAATATATATTATTTATGTACATGTGTAAACAGAACATGATTTAAAAATTCAGTTTTTAAAAATGTAATGTATTAATATGTAAGAAAATGGAAAACTTGTTATAATTATAATAAAATATCTACAATACTTTCATTGAATTTTTAATATTTTAATTAATAAAATTTTTTTCATTTATAATATTAAATAAAAAAATAATATAATAATTAATATATATGTTCTATTAAGATATATATAGATATATGTATTTATATATTTATGTGAAGGCGCGAAAACTTTCAATCATGTGATTTGTCTACATTTGAGATGCTAACTACTGATTAGTCAACAAAGCTCCTATCACAGTAAAGCCGCCATTGGTAGGAGAACTACCGCGACAGGTATCTGTGGTAGATGCGCGGCAAACAGCATAGGGGGACGACGTTTCTTTTCTTACTTATATTTTAAAGAATTTATTAGTACGAATGAAGCCGATAAAATTATTACAATTTGATTCTATTATTCTTATAATGATGATAAATAGTGACGTGTGAAGTGTATTATTTGTATTAAGTTAATTCTTGGAATCTTTTACCAAAGAATCTTAGTTGCTATATCATAAACGTAAGTCATCTGTTCTTTTGCTTGTCTCTTTATCTCTCTATTTTCAGTTAAGAATTATTTTTCATTTCAATACTTATACTAAATATAAAAGTATTGTTTTTATAAAATATTGTTTTTATAAAAACTATTTTAATTTATAAAAAGATGTATTACTATTCTTTTTTATTTTTGTTTTAAATTTACTTTTTATATATTTTATTCCTTTTTTTATATACATACGTATGAAGCATATTTGCGTAATATATCAAATTACAAAATACCAAATTGTATTTAAAATGAATCAATATTTATCGTTTGTGTTAGAAATATTATGAAATTCTATAAAAAAATCAAGAATTAAAATAACTAATTTCTCTGTATAATTATATAAATTAAATGAAAAAAAATTATGATAAAAATATGAATATATCGTTTGTAAATATAATCATTAATTTTTTTTATTATAATATTTATTTACTTATTTTAATAAATTCTTAATTTTCTATTCAGTTATGAATTTATTATTATTTTTGTCAAATTAAAATTAAATAAAATGATATAATAATTTAATTTTATCTTGTGATCAAAATGATTCGAAATTATGAAATTAATTTATAAAATTTTTTTAATTATATTAATATATTCAATTCCAAGTTATCGTGCATAAAGACGTGACATATATTTAAATTACAATTTAAATCGCAAGTATGTTTTATATTGTTTTATATTATGTTTTTATATTGATTTTTATGATTTGTTAAAAATAAAATGAAAATTTGATTCATTAAGTTTATAAAATGATCTTATTTAAAATATATTTACTAGTTTTATTAATATTAGTTTTTCTAAATAAATAATTTTCGTATTTTTATTATTTCCTTTTTTTCATACTGTTATTATTTTTTATATTATGATATTTTGTAACATTTTTATTTTTATTTTTTATTATTTTATCTTACATATCTCAAATCTTATAATCTTATAATCCTATATTCTATGTAAAAATTTTAATAAATTCACGAAATAGTATACATTTTTATCAATTGATCATTTTGTTTTCTTTTTCATAATAATATATTAAATTTTTTTCATAATAATATATTAAAATCGAAATTAATTTGATAATCGAATTTTATAATTAAAATTGTTTTATATTCATTTTATAACGAAATGCACAACTTTTCCTGGAAATTTTTTCTTTTTTTTTTCTTTTTTTATTTTTCTTTTATTTTTTTCTCTTTCTATTTCTGATCTTATCTCTATTCTTTGTCTTCTATCTTTATATTTATGCATATATATATTTATTTTTTTTTGCAAATAAAAGAACATGTTTTAGTATTTTTTTATAAGTTTATTATCTTAAAAAAGTATATATTATATGATTTTTTTTATAAATAACCATAATAATAATATTATATATAAATATAATATATAAATATAAATAATATTACATCATTGAAATATTTTGTTTTGTGTATGTTGATAATTTTTAATATATTTTTTAATTTTACAGTTTAGCATAAAAAATTATTATTTTGTTTTAATTTATTATTGCTAATTATATTTTAAATTATAATTAAATTGACGGAAACAATTAATTTAGTATAGTAATATTTTTTAATTAAAATGAATAAATTTTTTCAATTATAATGAATATTTGCTCATAATAAAAATGATATATTATTTTTAATTAATATTTTATTATATCAGAATTAAATCAATGATTTTAGGAAAACAAATTTAGATAAAAAAAATAATGTAATATGTATTATTCATGAAATATTATTATAATTTATTTTATAATGGCATTTAAACAGTATCTGTTCTTGAATATTGAATTACGACTATTTGTTTTTTTCATTTCCTTTTTTTTTTTTTTTTATATAGTAAAATTGAAAAGAGAATAAATTCTTATGAATTTAAAATTTTTCGATTTATAAAATGTTACATAACATGAATATATTAATACTTTGTATTCCCCTCTCTTGTCTTGATTACAATAAAAAGTTCTAATGTAAAGAGTTCTATATATGTAATAAGATATTTAATCTTTCTTGATGCTAGATAATTTTTAGACCAGTTGATTCAATAATTCAGCAATAATTCGACTAATATTAAATAAAAAAAATTAAGTTTAAATTTACCAAACATGGATTATCATATCATTCTACGATCTATCTTGAACTCGGATGATCAATCATTAAAGAAAATTTTATATGAAGATACAAATATGTTTAAGAATGAAATTCTCGAGAACATTTTTTATAAATGGATATTGCGTTGAGAGTAATTGTAATCCAACAGTTAAATGATGTTGGACAGTGAAAGTTACTATCGGACAGTCACTCAAGTCACACTTGCGAAAAATATTCTTTCAAAAGTTTTACTCTTAAATGTGTATATATACATCATAAATTAAAGTTTTCGAAAATTTTTACGCATAGTGAATATTCAATGCAAATGATAAAGAATAAATAATAAAAAGAAAAATCTATTTTTGTGATGAATTGTGTATCCATGACGACACATGGCATCCACTTTATGATGTCAATGCCCTTCTTAAGTTACATGTTCAAATTAATTTGAATGAAAATATATCACATATATATAAAGAGTAATTTTGTTTGATCTTACAAAATGCACAAATATATCGCATTTCAAGAAATGTCCATAAAATATAACATTATATGTATATAAGTAACCTCAATAAATCCTTCAAACTGAAATCATAAATAAGGATAAAATTAAACTAACTAAAAAAATTGATACAATTTTTTTAGTAAAAAATTTCAAAATAAAATTTCTTTAATAAAAAATTATCTTAAATCTGTGATATCACAATTCTTATCATAAAGAAACAATGATGGTCGATTTGATTCATCTATTTATGAACTTTTTTTTGTAATAAAAAATTTAATTAATAGAAAAAATATAGAAAAATTTCTAATTAATAATAAAATATTACAATTAAAATATTATTATAAATAATATTATTAATATAAATATAAATAAAATTATATTAAATTCACAAATTACAAATTATAGATTATAAATTTTTTTTTAAATTTTTTAATTTTACATTAATTAAGATAATTAGATGATTTAGAATTTTTAAATTCACTTAGCAAAATTCCATTTATTTTATTACGAAAATTTTTATCAAGTTTTTAAAAATAAGAGAAACAAAATACAAAAAAGAAAATATTTTTACTTATTCTATATAATATACAATGTCTATACACTTTCATTAACTGAACATGACCTGGAATCAATACCGTTAAGTCAACAAAACTTGACGAGTTTCTCTTTTAGAAGTTGCTTAAACCTTAAATGAAAATAGTAGATTATTCTATTTATGAAAATGTTTTATTTTAAATTTTCCATTTCATGAGTATATGATTTTAAAAAATGATATATGTATATCTTATATTTCTATTTAAAATGATACAAAATCCTTAATGATTACTGGGTATAGTATTAAGTAAATAAGTATATATTTAGATAATTTTATCTTTTTCATTAGTAACGTTCATTTATACATTTTAATCTTATATCTAATTATAAGATATAGATTTAAAGGCATTTAAAATTCAAATATTAGTAATATAATAAATAAATAAATATATATATATATATATATATATATATTCAAATATTAGTAATATAATAAATAAATAAATAAATATATATATATATATATATATATATATGAGACTGAGGATATTCTATGGCGCAGCAAATAAAAGTTAATTTGTAATCTTTAGAAAAGATTTACTTAAAATCAGTCGTTATTCGTTTCAAAAATATTGTTGATTTTTTTCATGTTTCTTGATTCAATTCACGTAATTCAAAAATGATTAAGAAACAATGCAATGTAGTGCCTCAATAAATTTTATCAATATACTATATATCAAATAATTTTTCATTTCTCATATGAATTTTAGCGTTAAATATGAAATGCTATATCTTGAAACAAAAAATTTGAATCATTCGACAATCATTCGATAAATCAATCGATGAGAAATTGTTAATAATAAAAGTTGGTATTACGTTACCAGCTAGAACACAGTGATAGGAAAGCTAAAGCGGACACTTGCAACGGGACCGCGATGTAACTCGGTCTAATAGCTTCCTGATTATTTCGTGAGCTGCTCAGCTGATTTCCTCTCCCTTTTGCTACGATAGTTTCGTCCCCCGTTGCGATCGAAACGATGAATTAATATTTCTCACGGTTAATTCGTTCATGATTGTTCAATTATTATTATTCGTATTATAATTGGAATAATTAATACGTGATACAATTACATCGAATACAGAGGTGAAGAAAATTTCAAATAATTTTAAATAATTTCAAAAATCGTAATTCCAGATAGAAATTGTAATATCTTAAGATATTTTGTATTGTATTATTTGTTTGAAAGAAATAAATTAATAAATATATCGTTGTATAATTAATATTTGTATCTGTAACGTACATGAAAGAAAAAATTAATTATTATCTTGTAGTTTTGACTCAATAATAATACATTATTCTATAAATTACTACTTTCTTTATATTAATAATTAATATTAATAATTATATTAATAATTAATTATTTTATTATAATGTAAACAAAATTATTTTATTAAATATAATGTTATTTTATTAAAATGTAAAATTAAAAATTTTATATAGGAATTAGATTTTTTAATTATTGAATAGATTTTATACCCTAGTAACACATTATAATATAATATATAAAATTAATTAGAAAAATTACGTAACTGTTTTATTATTTGAATATTAATATCTGTATATATGTTAAACAATTATAAAAAAATATCTTTTAATAAAAAAGAAAAGTATAAAATATATAAAATCAAATTAATAAAAATAGATTTTAAATCAATCATCTCATATTTACAATGATACACGCTGTACTTAATACACGTTCGTAAACGCATTCTTGCCTATTTCTCATGAAACTCGTACAAAATAGAGAATTTTACATAATTAATGGTGTTAATGATGGATTATGTTCACGTAATATTCATGTGATGTACCATCTATTTGAATACTCTACGTAGGAGTAAATTCATAGAAAATTATATCATTATGAGAAAACTTGAATCTTCGTTTCTTTTTATATATTCTTTTTTCTTCTTTTTAATATATATATCATTTTTAAAATAACTTGCTGGAATTTTATTTTTTATAAATCACTTATTTATCTCGATGATTTAACTATCTTATACGATTTTATTTTTATGAGAAGAGAATAAAATTTTAAAAAATATTAAAATATTAAAAAATATTAAATGGACTTAATCATACTATATTACCATAATTATCTCTTAATAATATAATAATATAATATAATAATATAAAAAAAAATAAGAAATAAGTGAAAGATATTAATACGTTCGTATTGCAAATCCAACAAGAATAAAGCAGAAAGTAACGATTAAGGGAAAAGAAAAGCGACCTGTTGACCGGGTATGATCAAGTCTGGTGACCTAATTTTCTACGTGTCATTGTCCTTTGAACGAGAATTTACCTTGCCAATTGCTTGCTTACAAGAAGGTTGCAATCTGCAACTTGCAAGTTTTTTTTATGCTTATTGCATTTACTGTAGCTGTATGTAGCAGTGATCAATTCATATTCATTGTATTTCTTATATTTATTTTAATAATATTTTATATTTCTATATATGTACACAATTTATTAATAATTTTTATAATTTTTATAATATTTAACGTGAAGATAATATATATTTTAATATCATCATATTTTTTTTTTCATGTTGTGATGAATAAAGTTAAAGAATAAAGTTGCGAAAAATTAAAAACAAATTAAAACAAATATTAGAAATATTAAATATTTTTATAAATAAATTTTATCTTATTTAATGTCTAAACTTATTTAATGTCTGCTTCCACTTAATGAATACTGTTTTTCCATTTTATTTCTGATTAAATGTAAAAGAAATATTTATTTTCCATTTAATTGAAACGCAATAAATGTTGAAAATGACTCAGAGTTCTATTTTTCCTTGTTATTCCTTAGTCACTGAAAACAAATCTTCAAGATTGTAGTGCAATGTTAAAGTTAAGAATTACTTATTCAAATAATATACCTTATACACATTTGCTTTATATATAAGGAAAGTTGTATTTAAAAAGACATATTGGATTTATTAAAATAAATCATTATGATTGACGAATTTCTCGTGCAAGTGCATTCTTAGCTTGCATATTTGCTTGTATTATGCAACGAGGATACGATACGTTTACGGGTACATTGTTACGTCATCATTGAAAGTTGTCAAACTCGTTGAACCGCTAAAATTAAATGGATTAAATGCCGAACAAATAGCTGTTAATATTAATACCAGTCGAGCATATAACATTTGGCGGAAAAGAAATTTCATATTTTTAATTCTGAAATATCTTGTCACGTAAAATACTGTTACCAAGTATGGATCGAAACCTGATTTTAAATTTGCAAAAGTCGAATCGAAAATTTCGTAAAATCTCGAAACTTTTGAATCTCAAATCTCTCGAAATTCTCGAAATTCTCGAAATTCTTGAAATTAAGAATACTTATTTTACATATGTTTCGAATCAGAAAAATAATGAAAGTAGAAATTTTTCAAATTTTTTAGAAGTTTCAAATTTTTAAAATAAATAAAGGATTAATAATAAAGTAAATATTATAAATATATAAAGCAAGAGGAATTACCAGTAATGAATTTTTTCGATGAACGATCACAATGTGTTTCATTGTGTCATTGCAAGTTCACATTTTATATGATACATTTGAAATGTAATATAAAAATTATATAGTGGTGATATATCGTTAGTATGAGGGCGAATTATGAAATGTTAACAGAGGAAGAAACCGGATTGTCAATTGTTACATCGAATAAAAGACAATCTTCAAGGTTATAAATCTCAGATGTTCAAGGTCCGTTTCTATTTGTCTAGAAAATAAATACAACTATATGCGTTAATATTTGCGTTCTAACTGTTTTTATCATCAAATTATTGAATGTTATTCAGAAATATTTTGATCTTACATATAATGTGTGGCATGAAATGTTATTTCATTTATTTAAAACTAAAAATATATCAATTTTATGATATCAATTTGATGATATTTTTAATTTTTAATAATAGAACTAATAATTTTTTTTAATTTTTTTAGTATGGTTAAAAATTAAACAATATAAATATAAATTGGCATTCGAATTTCTTCAAAATGTTTATAATTTCAATTTATATTAAATTAAAACGAATCATTATATATTTGTATTATATGATGTCTTTATTTAAATTAATGGATATTAATAATAATAATAGATATTATGATATTATGATATTAATACGTAAAATTGTTTACTTAAAATCAAAACTTCTTCATGCAATACACATTTTGTTATTAATAATATTACATCACTTATTCTTGCAATTACATATATATATATATATATATAGACTATTATTTATATGAAAGTACGCATCGCATTTGTTTTTCCTACACGTATTTCTTCCTTCTTTTCCTGTCTGTTATATGTATCACTTTCATTTCCTTCTTGTATACTTTTTTCTATATCTTTGTAATTTTGCAAAATGTATATTTTTCTTTATATTTACATTTATATTTTATTAAGATTTATATTTTATTTAAATTATACCGAAATTATTGTATAATTTTTTTCTTACGAGATCTGATATCGAAATTGGCGAACTCGTAAATAATTGCAAATAATTTTAAACGTATTAAAATATCTTTTGATATATGATATATTCGACTATGAATACAGGACATATTCTTAATTAACAAGAATTCGGTTTAATTCGACTAATTTTCGCAGCTCTTTGTTTCCCGCCTACGATGATTTCAACGAGAAATACGTCTTAATTGAGAAACTGGAGCATTGCATAAAGATGTTCTAAATAATACAAGTTTTTGTTTTTTTTAAAATAGATTATTGAAATTTTAATTAATTTTAATTATTTTAATTAAGTTTTGATTTAGATTTATAATTAAATTCCAGTTTATATAATCCCATCATATTTAATTCTAATAGTTATAATATTAAAAATAAAATTGTAAAACATATGTTAAAATAATAGTTAAAATAAAATGTAAAAACTTTTCTGAAAAATTTATTTTTCTTAAAGTGAGATTTAATTTTTATATATGTATATTTAATTTTATACTAAATTTTTGTTAAGTTATCGTAGAAAATATTTTAAGTGATATGCATAAAAAAAAACAATTTAACAATTTATCATAAACAACGAAACTCTATAAATTATTACTAAAATAGAATGTTATAATATTGTTTATACAGAAGTATTGAACAATATTTACTTTGTTTAGTTGCAGATATTTCAGTGAACAAGCCAAAATGGGCTGTGCTTCACAGTGTGCCAAGTATTTTCTATGTTTCTTCAATTTCGTTTTTTTCGTAAGTATAAAGAAAGGATTATATTAATACACATAAATTAATTTTCATTATTATTAAAGTATAAAATTCCATAAAATATTTTTATAAGATTTGTTTTAATAATTGTTTATTGTATTGAATAGTATTTATTATATTATAATGAAAATATCAGATAAAAAATTTGAATATATTATGACACGCTTTATATAAGATAATCACTTAATAATATATAATCAATAGAAAATAATTTAATCTTTAACTTCATATTTTTATGTAATAATAATTTTTAAATTTTTGTAAATAAGTAAGTTTATTTACATTTAAATTATTTGTTCATTTATAGGTAGCAGGAGGTGCTGCATTAGCAGTTGGAGTTTGGCTCTTCGCCGATAGGAATTCTTTTGCCGATCTCATTGGCAAACTCGATCAATCAGACATTCTGGTAAATTTTAAAAAAATATTTTAAATTTTAATTTAAAAAGGTAATACTTCTAATTTTATTAATTTTTATGTAGAAAAATTTTATTCGATATCATTTTATTAATTAAATTATAAAATTATTCATAAATTATTATATTAAATAATTATAAAAAGAATAAGAAATTATCAGCTATAAAAAATATTGTTTAACAAATTCTCTCTTCGTTAATTGCAATATGAAAATATTGTCATTAATTAAATAATATATTAAGAAATTCACTTTTTATTCGCAAGTTTTTATCGTATAGGTTTTCATTTTCATATTTGTAATTATTATGTATATATATTGTATATTCTCAATGAGAAAATTCATTAATATTATTATGTATAAAATTAAATAATATATAAAATATTTTATGTTTGTTGTATATATATATATTAATATTATTTTATATTAATATTATTTTATTTAAGATTTATTAAATTATTAATATTATTTTATTTAAGATTTTAAATTTCGTATTAAACTTAAACAAATCAAAAATTTTATTAAAATTTTTATAATAAAGAAATAATTTGATATTAAAAATAATTATTTAATATTATAATAATTAATCATAAATTTATGTTAGATTACTCTGTTATAGAATAAAACGGATGCGGATGTCATCAGGATAATATCATATATCTTGATTTTGGCAGGAGCATTGACATTTTTGGTCAGTTTTCTTGGATATTGTGGAGCAATGTTTGAATCTCGGTGTCTTCTTTGTATTGTAAGTTTTTATGGTTTAAAAAATTAAATTTTAATAGCACATGATACAATTAAGTCTTTAATTATAGTATGGTGTTCTTATTCTTGTGGTTTTGATCCTGGAATGTATTGTAGTAGGTTTGGCTTTTGGTCTTAAAGGAGATGTGAGTTTTTTTATTGTAATTTAAAGTAACAAAATAAAAATCCAAAATAAAAATTTATATCATTCTACTTGTTATGATTTTTAGGCAGAACAAAATACAAGAAATTTTCTCAAATCTACAATCAAATATTATGCCAATAATATTGATAAAACAGAAACAATTACAATAACATGGGATGGTATAATGACACAGGTTATTAAAAATTTATATGATTCATTAATCAAGAAAATTTAAACATAAACAAATGCTACAATTCATAAGTATAAATAAATAAATTTTAATAAAACTTATAATTATAAATATTATTAATTTATATATATATTATATATTTAAAAAGATATATTTTATATGTTTAGTTACATTGTTGTGGAGTGGAAAATTATTTGGATTTTCGAGAGAACACAAATTGGACATCAGATAAAATTGTACCTGAAGCATGTTGTATAAAAGAGAACACTGTTTTAAAGGATCCATCTTGTCCTATTAGTCCTACTTCTAATAATTCTTATTATAAGGAGGTTAGAAAATATTAAAAAGAGATTAAATTATAATAAAATTATAATTAATTTAATATACAAAAACTATTAAAAATATATAAATATTGTGTAAATATTATAGGGTTGTTATAATGCAATAATGAGGACAATTGAAGAAAATGCAGCTATAGTAATCGGCGTTGCAGCTGGATTAGCATTTGCCGAAATTCTGGTTATTATTTTAGCTCTGCATTTGGCATGCTGCTATTGGCGACCGCAACATGGTAGGCTTGCACTTCTCACTGATGCCTCTTAAATCATAAAAAAATATTTCAAATTACATATAAATTTGTAAGATTACGAGATGATAATTAAAAAATGTTATCTTTTTGAATAGATAAGATTTTTAAGAAGTTATAAAAATTTTCTTCAAAAATTAAATTAAAAACATTCTTTTAGCTTGCATCGACGTATCGTCGAAACAGGCTTGGTGAACAACAATGAAAATGTATTTATGTTTTCAACTAAACGTAGAAGATTAAGCGTTTCACTTTCAGACTGCTTTTGAATTAAAATAAAGCTAATATTTATTTTATTTTAATTATATTTCAATGATATTAAAAATTTTTTCAAATTAAAAAAAAAATAGAGAATAATTTTTTATATAACTAAAATTATCAGTATTACTATAAATATTGAATAAATTTGAAACAATAAATGTTAAAATAAAATTATTCAAATTATTAATATTTGAATATTTGATTAAATATTACTAAAATTTGTAATTAATTGTCTATTTTTAATAATATTTGTATATTGAAAATATATTTTTGATTTCTAATTTTATATATTAATAATATTATTAATTGAGAAAAAATATATGTATTCATAAAATAGATTTTATACATTTATATTATAACTTATTAAAATTTTTATATATTTAATATTGTAAAATAATTTTTGCGGATAGTTTATTGTAATTATAATGTAACGAACTGGAGCAGTTCACGCAATCATTTGTCAGTTCATATCGCGCAAAAAACATTTTCGTTTGCAGTTTTAACTTCTTGGTGCTGCTGTTGACCTCGTACACTAATAGTGAGCTCTTCATATCTTCTTGGCTCCTTTCTTCACAGAAGCGAATTCACAGAATTGGTTTAAACTTAGTTGAAACTAACCTAGGATATATTCATCATTTATTTAATTACATTTTATTACTTTATTAAAAAATTCATAACATTGAATATGTTAAGTAATTAAATAATAATAATTAAATAATTCTTATATTTCATAATGATTTAAAGTTATGAATTATTCTGATTGGATTAATAGTTAAAGTATAAAATTTTTAGATTCACAATTATTTCATTTTTTCAAAGAAAATTTTCTATAGTTATTAATTTAATGAAAAAATTAATCTATCTTATGAAAAATTGTTTAATTTTAAAAACAAACTAGTACAAAATCAAATAAAAAGTTTAAAAATAACATTTTATACAAAAAATTACACATGCTTGCGTTGAACTACTTTGTATGTACATATATTTAAACTAATTAATACTACATTATATTATTTTATTAAGTTATATTTACTATATTATATATACATTAATGTGTATAGTTGACACATAATCTTCCTCTTAATAAGATAATTAAAATGTATAATAAAAATTTGTAATGTTTTATAATGTATATTTTACATTGTTTTATAATGTACAAGTGATAAAGATTTTGTATTCTTTGTAAACTTGATAATTTTTTTCCTCTAATTATAAAACTCCTTCTAATTATAAAAAAAAAATATGTATAAATTATAAAGTAAAAAAATATTTTATTAGTGAAAATATTTTATATATCATATCATTATTAAACAAATAATAGAGTAATCAAAGGAGAAATTATCTTACAATTATTCTTATAAAATTCCATGATGATATTATAAAAATTATATTTATTTTAGAAAATAGATAGATAGATAATTTAGTTCATAAATAAATTCAAAATTTAAAATAATATATTTATCCTACATTAATATATATATACTATTAGTATTTGAAATCTTAAATAAATGATTTTTTTTATAATTATAGAATATAAGAATATATATTTTTTCAATATTACTTAAAATAATTCTAAAATCTTTAATAAAATAATTAATAAAATATTATTCTTAAAAGTTTAATAATTTGTGAATATGTTGTGAATATTTTTTAAACTTGCACATAAAAAATAATTGTTTTAATTTTTATTTTTAAAAATAACGAAATTGTAAATGTTTATATTTTAAATACTGTTATAAAAATCACATTGTTATAAAATCAATATCAATAGATTAATAAATTTTGTTTTAATAGATTAATAAAATTTATTTTAATAATAATAATGTTTAATAATTAAAAATAAATATAGTATTTAATAATAAATACATTAACATTTTTAAAACAAATGAGAAAAGAAATATTATTATTATTATTATTAAAAATGTCTAATAATATAGTCACAATATTAAAATTTTTAATAGCACTTGAAATGCTCTTATTATATTATTATTAAAAGGATGCTTGCATATACAATATAATGTGTATTTTATAAAGAATATAATTAAATTTAAATTATATGTAAGAATTATATTTATTATATGAATAATTTTAAATTATTATTTCATAATCTATTCGTAAAATTCACTTTATATCTGTACTAATATCACAGTCACTGTTTTGTAATAAAAAGAATATTTTAGTTGTCATAATTACTTTTTTTACATTTTACTAAATTAAAAAATATGTCAATTGATTGATTGAAAAAAACTTATAAATAATTAATATTTTCATAGTTTATACTTCAATATCATGAGATTTGTACTATAGATAAAAAATTGAAAATATAACTTTCTTTGCAATTGAAATCCTGAGTATAGCAATACATAGATATGTAAAAATACAAGATTATTAAAGGATAGATGGAATTTATTGAAAGTAAATATTGCAATACTTTAATAAATTATTTTAAAATGAAATATGATCCATCTATCCTTAAATCTAAGAACTAATCTAAAGAATCAATATCTATAATGTATGAACTATGTAAATTTGTATGAACAATATTTTTTGATTATAGTTTCTTTTTACAAATAATATTACAGTATGAGCTTTTAAAAAACAAGTTTTCTTGATGAAATAACTCTCCTACAATTCCCCACTATATATTCTTAAAATAGATATTACAAACGTTCAGTTGATCCAAGTCGACTGATTCGGTAAATTGAGTGGGTTAGGAGAGTAAAGCATGTCCTATTGAGGTGGTCCACCCATTATGCCCATTGGAGGCATACCTTGAATTCCATATGGTGCCTGTGGAGGACCTTGATTTCCAGCCATAGGAGAATGTAATTGCATTGCAGGACTTTGAATCTGTTGTGTTGGTGTTCCACCAGCTGGTGGAACCTGTAAATAGTAATTTTCATTAATATTTCATTGTTTTATATATAATTAATAATTATTAAAAAAATTATCATTAGTATTGATAGCCAAATAGATTGACTATTTAGCCAAATAGATATTATGAAACTATCATTCAATGATTTTGAAAATATTAATAAATCTTAATCAATGTTACATTAGTATATATTATATGTTTTTATTAATCATATATTCAAATATTTTATAAATATTTGTAAATATTTGTAAATATATGATAATGAAATTTTCCAATTTAATGTATTGCGAATTTCAAAATATAGTATTTACCTGAGACAGGACTGGAGGATCTGAAGGAAGAGTCAAATTGGCAAGTAAATCTCTAACTGCAGGAAAGAGAGAACATTCAGATTGATTTGCACCATATTCAGCAAATCTTTTTAATTGTAAGGATGCTGCTGCCATTGCAGAAGCTGGACTTGGATCCCTTTTTTCTGCTAATTGTGTTAGGTTTGTACTAACATCATAAACTAGAGGTAAAACAAGTGATGGTGTTTCTCCTTGATATGGTAATCCAATTCTTGTTATTTGCAGCTATAATAAAAATAAAATAAATAATAAATTAATATGTTTTTAATATAATATAATAAATAATAATAAATAATAAATATAATAAATAATAATAGTATAATAAATTTAAATATATAAATATTATCTTAAAATAAAATTTTGAAAAATTTTATTATATATACATACAAAAAAAAGAATTTTATTTCTGCAAACTAATATAGCAGCCATGCCAGTAGGTACAATTGGAGTTCCAGAAGGAGGAATTCTTAAACACCATTGTACATTCCATTTAAGTTGTTGTTGTTGTGCTAACCCAGGTACTAATTCTAATTTCATAATTTGTACAAAATCTTTCAACACATTAAATGGAACATTTAACATTCTACCAAAACCAGAGAGTGTGTTTGGTTTATATGGTGGTATTGCTGCTCTTGTATCAAAAAATTTTTCTATGATCTGTGAAAAGAAAAAATTATAAAATTATTAAAAAGAAGGAAACAATATCTTTTAAAATTTTAATTATGAAATATTATTACTTGTAATTCTTCAAGCGTCCATTGATCTTTATGATCTGGAAGAGGTTGTACTTTTATATGAAGAGATTGTAAATGTTGTGGATTTAAGCCAACTCGACATTGTAAACTTTCTACTTTGAAGTGTACAACTCCTGGTTCTGTACTATTTACTGCTGTTAACTATAAAATGATTTAAAATATAATTTTTATTGTATTTATTAAAATAAAATATAACTAAGTAAAAAATAAAATTCGTACACATTCATCAGTTTGTATGAATCGTTGGAATTGTCTGCGCATATAAATGCATCCTAAAAATCTTTCAAGCGGTGAAAGATCAGGCCCAGGAAGTCCAGAAGGGTGTGGAGAAGGACAACAGAGCAATTCTAAAGCTTCATGAGTTAAAAGTGTAGGTACAGCACCTGCCCAAGAACGTTGTGGAAGTACTCTTGAAATATGAGTTCCTGTTTTATGATCAGAGGCTTGAGGACTATGCAATGCATGTCCCGGACTTTGTGTAGGACGTGCTGGAGATGGTCTAGGCACACTAGGTGACCCTGGCCAATTAGAGGCTGCTGGAGAAGCCATACTTTGTGAAGATGGAAATGGACTTCCATCTATGTGTCCTAAATAAATAATCATTATAATAAAAAAATTTCAATGCATTTAGCAATTAGCAAATTAATAAAATTTAACGAAAAAAATCTGGAAAAAAAAAAATATTGATATTTCTATATTTATTAATATATGTGTGTATATATATATATAGATCAATTACAATTTCGATTGATTATTAATATTTGAATAATATAAAAGACATTTTTATATAATTTAAAACTATTATAATTGTAAAATATCTCATATAATAAGAAATAACTTTTTACCAGTTTGCATAAAAGATCCTGCAGGAGAATGTCCCACTTGAACATTACTACATGGTCCTGGTGAAGATGTTGGCATTAATCCAGCTGGACTAGGAACATGCATTGGATTTAAAGGACTGTTAGCAACTAAACCGGAGCCTGGTGAAGGATGTGGTAACATATTAGGTGTATTTGGCGGTAATGATGGTGGTGAAGCCAAATTGAAAGAAGTGGCTGGACTACTTCCAAAACTTTGATGTTGATTTGTCTAAAAAAAATTAAAAAAATTTTTAAAGAAAATTAAAAAAAAAATTTCGTTTCGAATTTTATATAATTTAATAAGAGCTACCTGTGATATATTAGCAGTATGTGGACTAGCTGGAGTATGAGGATTACTACCAGAAGGTGGAGTCAAAGGTGGATGAAATCTTAATCCATCTCTCTGTTGTGCAGGTGACTGAGGTCCACTTCTATGATGACTTAAAAAACCTACATTTCCACTTCCACTACCTCCATCACTATCCATTGTCACAGGAGAAGGAGGATTATCATCCTCTGACTGAGATCTTCTACGAGAAACTGCACTTTCATCCACATATTTAGATAAAAAAGCCTAGTAAAAAAAAAGTATAATTACCAAAAATAAAATATCATACATCAAAATATTATATCATATTCTATATCATTAAAATAAATTAAAAAAAAAATATATGTAATTTAGTATTCTAAAATAAATTAAATTCTCTTAATACCTTAAGACCTTGTGTAGGAGTAAATTCATCTACAACGTAACTTCTATCAAAACGGCTATAAGCTCCATCCCGTAAGCTCACTAAACCACTTCCTCGCAGACGAAGTTCTAAACAATACATACCCTGATATGCAATTCTGACTAGAGTTACACATTGTGGCATAATAGTGAAAGTTTGTACTGGCACTTGAGGTCTCTATAAAGATATAATAAAATTTATAAACAATAAATACAATAAAATAAAATAAAAAATATAATAAAATAAGTTTTAATAAAAATAAGTAATATTAATATCATACCGAATTATAAACACAAAGTTGTGGAATTATAGGCAATTTGCTAATTGATGTAAGAGGTTGAAGTGTTTCATGAAGAATATGTATAAGTTGAGCTAAATTTCTGTGTCTATTTAAATGAGCCTCCAATTGTTCTTTCATAATTGAATGAGCATTAGTAATAGTACTAGTTGGACCTACATATGAATACAATAAATACATTAATTAAAAAATTTATATATTATACATAACTTATATATTATAAATTATAAAAAATATTATAAAAAAATTGATTATAATTTATTTAAAAAATTATGAATATAATATATTAATAAAAAAATAATATGAATAATAAAATAATAAGAAATTATATAGATTATTAAAATAAACATTCTATATAAGTTAATCAATATAAATTAAATAATATTTACTTTTTCCAAATGTCAATTTAAATGCTTTGTCATTGGTACTCCATTGCACAGTAACAGTAGCTCCACGATTAGGACCATAAGTTAAAACTAACTTACTATAATTATATAATTTTATACTAACCATATTGCGCAGATTATATTTTTCTGTAATATGAAACATCTAAATTAATAATTTTAGTTATATATGTAATTTTTAAATCAATATTATTTTTTAATAAATTTTAAAATTACCCATTTTAAAATATTCTGCTAAATCATGTACTATAAAATAAAGATGTACAATTTGAGCCCAATCATTAAGTATTGCATCTACTGTACGCGAAATAGTATCTGCTGTTCCCATTTCATATTGGAAATATACTGGTCTTCGCAATCCTAATTAAAGAGATTATCTAGATTATTCGAATATTTATTTATATATATTATATATATATATATTTATTTATTTATTTATTTATTATATATATAATATTATTTCTTTAAATTATTGAATATTACCTTGTTCTTTTGGATGACTACTAGATAAGGGGCTACCATAAAATACAAATTCAGCCATCCATGTTTTAGCCATACCTTTACCTTGAACTCTAATTGAAACACTGAGTAACCTTTTAAGAAGAGCATACCAGGCACAACTAGTATTTATTCCTGCAGAAGGAGCAGGTAATTGAACTAGTTTCAAAACTAATGCAGTAGCATTTGCCTCTACTTGAAGCCCTTGATGAGCTATATCTCTTCTAGTCAATTCTTGTGCTAATGTTACAAAAGGTATCCTTTCATCACAAAGTGCAACCACATGTGCTAACTCAGGAATAAAATATGCAGGTTGCTTAGACCTTCTGTTTTGCAATGTAGTACTGCTATCAGATCTTCCACTAGGTCCTGTACTTCTTCGTTTCAAACTACTTGTTTCAGGAGTTTCTATAATATATTAAATACAATTTTATTCATTTTTCTATTAAATAAAAATATAGAAAACATTATTATTCTAAAATTTTATACTGAATTTAAAAACTAACCATTGTCAACACTGGTAAAAGGTCCATGAGTTATAACAAAAGTATCAAATTCAATTAAACTTTGAACTTTTAAATACATTTTTGGAATTTCTGTTTCAATACTATCATCATGGGGATCATCCTCTATAGAACTATGTTTTACTACAGCAAGATAAAATGAACATTCAATTTCACATGGTGAAGTTTCTTTCTCTTTAAACGCCACTATTAAAATAACTGTAGGATGTCGATGAAGTTGAATAAACATCCGATGTCTACTAATTTTTGATATTGGATGATCAGGATGAAGAAGAACTGGTAAACGTTCATGAGAAGTTGCTGGAAGATGTTGTAATGTTTTTTCACATCGTCTTTGTGTTATCCAAAATCTAAAATATCAAATAAAAATAAAACAAAATAAAAGAAAAATATGGAATAAAGTAAAAATTGAAGAAATATTACCTAAGTTCTGATATTAAAGTCGGAAGGCGAGAATGATCGCCATTTAAAGCAGCAGTTAATTCCGGAATCAACGGAACTTCATATTGAGGTACATGACATTGCAACATTCCAGTATGTGTATCAACAGTAACTAATAAATGTTCTGCTCTTAAGCAAGGTTGCAAAATTGGAACAGAGAGAATTGCAGGTGAACCAGCTAGAGTACATTCAACATCTTTCAACATCGTTTGCAATTCTTGCTTTAAATCTAATAATCTACTTCTAGTACGTACATATATTGTATGCACTAATAAACATTCCATTGATAATTGATCTGATCTAATTGCTCTGTCTGCTATTTCACTTTCTTTGCTACCTAAAGATGGAATATGTACTATTGCAAGAGGTCTTGCAGGATCATGTTGGTCCACCTGCACTGTTAATTTATAGCCTAATTCTGATCGAGGATCTTTATTAGTCAATTCTCTCCAATATGAGACTGAAAGACATTTTCCTGGTGTATATTCATCCACATGAATATGATCATCCAATCTATCTCGTATTAATCGTAATGTTTGAGAATAGAGTACTTCTAGTTGTAGTGATTGACAAAAATAATGCAAAATATGATAAACTTCCGATAATGGATTTGAACTTTCTGCTAATCTTGATTGCACCACCTTGTAATTAAAATTATTTATTTTAATATTAAATATAAAGAATTAATTATGATAATTTACTAGAAAAAATAATACTTGATGCACATAACGAGTTTGCAATGGATGCACTAAAGCTTTTCCATCTCCTGTTTCTCTATCTGAAACTAAGATTTCCAATTCTAATAATCTCCAAGGTACTGTTGGACCATCTCCCATTACTGTAAGTGACACTGAAAATTCTTGTTCTACAAGAAATGTTACTCTTCCTGCTTCAATTTTTAAATTACGCATTTGTGGAAGCAGATTTCCAGTAACTAATCTATGTTGAATAACTTGATTCAATCTTTGAAGTGTACTTCTTTTTTCTGCTGGTGTAATTGGATCAGGAGGAACAATTCTTTCCTATGAAAATATGTATATATATATATATATATGTATATAAACTTAATGTAACTTATATATAAATATATTTATATAAATATTTTATTTTAATGAAAAAAATTATACAAATATATTAATATATCTATACAATTATTGATAAAAAAATTAAAATTATAAATTACTCTTATGCATGCTGGTAAACGACTATATGTTCCAGTTGTAAGAACTTCCACTGCAGCAGGAATATGAAAATTAGGTAACCTTGCATGTACTAATGTCTCACGAGCCATTCTTGCAAGCATATCAGCTGTATCAACGAAAAGAAGTGATTGCTTGTCTAAGAATGCCATTATATGCTGTCAAAAAAATTTTTTCTTATTTTCCTATTATTAATATATCAATTATATCAAAATATAAATTATTATATATAATTATATTGAAATATAAAATAAAAAAATTAATATATAACATACCGCAGATTTATCAACTTTGGAAGCACTATTAGCCCATTTAACTAATGCTAATAAACGTACATATAACTGTCTAGTTCTAGCTGAAAAGTTGTAAATTTCTATTTTGCGTTCCATGTCAGTTTTTCGAGGTAATCTGTAAATATATTTTATATATCATATATATTAATTCTATCACTTTCTAATTTTTCTATTTTATAAATTTCTGTTTTATATAATATAATATTACTATTATTTAATTTATTTATTTTTTACTTAATTTACTATTATTTAAATACATATCTGAATCACTATATTTATATGAAATATAATATAAAAATATATATAAATTTTCTTACAATTCAGCTAAAACTGTAAGTTCGTGATAAGTACGTTGTATAATGAAATCAATAAGCATGCCAAGAGAAATAGAACCACCACGATTTCCTTCCTGTGGAATATTATTAGTTACAGGTGTTTGATGACCCTCTAAAGGCACTGGTGCCATTTTGCTATATTATAATTAACAAATCTAAAATTTAAAAAATAAAAATAATTAAAATATGTATATGTATACATATGCAAATATTAACTTTGGTATTTTTGATAACAATTTAACATTTATATATTAAATCATATATAAAATACATACGTTGTAATAATATATAGTTATAATATTAATATTTGTCAATTATTTTATATTAATTAACTTCAATATATTGTATCAAATTTACAAACTATTTATTTGAAAAATTGATCACTCATTTTCATAATAAATTTATAGATAATAAAAATATATTAACAACGAAGAATAAATAATAAGATGAACATATTATCTACTCTCTCTTCCTTTATCACTTGATCGTACATACTACAATGGTAGTGACAAAAGTAGCTTCTTTTAAATACGTCATAAACTTTGTCAATACTAGATAAGACACTTTTAAAATGATTCATTTATGATTTTTCAATTATATTATTTTCAATATTATTCAATTATTCATATATTTTAAAGATTTAATTATCATTGCATTATCAAAATTAAAATAAAAATTGGTAATAATATATAAAATTAAAATTATTAATTATTTAATTATTTCAATTTTGCAGCAATGTCAATTTAATAACAATAAATATTAAATATATTATGATTTCTGTTTAATATTATTAAAAAAATAAAAAAATAATTTAAAATTAAAATTGATCACGTTTCAATCTAAATAAAATAAAAATTATTTTAAAATTGAAAGATAATTTAACAAATAATTTAATTAAATATTCAATAGTATCTTAAACCTGAAGTTAGTACTAATTTACACGTGATTACATTTAATATATATGTGATCATTTTTATTATATATTTCTAATTTAATATATTTAATTTTAGAATTTAACGAAATTATTTACAAAATATAAAACAATAAGTATCAATAATGGAATTATTAAATGAGCCAATTCGACAAAAATCAATGATGTAAGTAAATATAACCTCATGACCTCATACATCAATAATTGTAAAATTTATATAAGATAAATTGATAATTTTGATAACTTTTTTTAATATGAAATTTATTATATTTATAAATTTTAAAACAAAAATGAAATAAATTAAAAAAATGTGAATACTCTGATTTTATTTTTAGACTATGTTGTATTTGTGGCATTAGTATTGAACCTAATCCAGCAAATATGTGCGTGGCATGTTTAAGAACTCAAGTAGATGTTACTGAGAATATTCCAAAGCAAGCAACAATTCATTTTTGCAAAGGTTGTGAAAGGTAACATAATATAATTTTGTATAATATTTTTATTATTTAGTTTTTAATCCTCGTATATAAATATATATATTAAATATTTAAATAAATATTGATAAATCAATATATTATTTATTACACATTCAAAATTAATATGTACTATTTTTTTTGTTAAATCTAGCTATTTTTTGTTAATTTTTTTTTTAAATCTAGCTATAATTTATAATTTTGTTATGATTATTGGCATAATTTATTATTAATAATGAATGTTTACATTTGAAAAATATTTAATGATACAGATATATATTTAATAATAAATTTATGTTACTATAAAATGTTATTTATAATAATTAATATATCAAAGGAATTGATTCTTTATTAAATTTCTTATTTTTTTTTATATTTTTTTATTAAATTTTTTAATCATTTTTTTTAAATTATATATTTTAAATTATAAAATAGAAAAATATTCAATATATTATTCTATCATAATATGTACATATAATTTATATATTTTTTTTTTAATTAGAAATAAATATTAAATAGAACTTAAGAAATTTTTACTTTTTTAGATATTTACAACCACCTGGAGAATGGATTCATGCAGCATTAGAATCTAGAGAATTATTAACATTGTGTTTGAAAAAATTAAAAGGTTTAAATCGTGTAAAATTAATTGATGCTGGATTTGTATGGACAGAACCTCATTCTATGAGATTAAAGGTACCTTTTTTATAATAATTTATTATGTAAAAATTATATTATTATACTTTATTTTTAGGTAAAATTAACAGTACAAGCTGAAGTAATAGGAGGAGCAGTTCTTCAACAAGTATTTATAGTTGAATACACAATAAATCATCAAATGTGTAATGATTGTCATCGAACAGAAGCAAAAGATTATTGGCGTGCTTTGGTAAGATTTTATATTAAATTTCTTTAGAATAATGATTTAGAATAAAAATAATTTGTTACAGTATAAATATTTATGATTTATTTCTAATAGGTACAAGTACGGCAGAGAGCAACAAATAAAAAGACATTTTATTATTTAGAGCAACTAATATTAAAATATAAAGCACACGAACATACTTTGGGTATAAAACCTATTCATGGTAATAAATCTAAATTACTGAAAAACATTAAAATAAAGTATAAAAATTATAACTTTTTATATATTAAATAATTTTTATAGAGGGTTTAGATTTTTTTTTTGCAAACGAAGCAACAGCACGCAAAATGGTTGATTTTCTTTCAAGTGTTATACCTTGTCGATATGACCATTCTAAAAAATTAATATCACATGATATTCATAGTAATATTTACAATTATAAATTTACATACAGGTAAAAATAATTATGATTAAATAATTACTAAAGAAAAATGATAAAGAAATATTAATTTTATATAATAGGAATATGTTAGATAAAAATCAATATTTCTATGAAAACAAAATTTAATGAGTATTTAAAATAAATATTTCCCCTTTTTTTAAAATTATTCTTTTTATGAATGTAAAAATAAAATAAAATATAACGGTTTCTTTTAATTCATAATTTATTTTACTATTTCTTTTCATTTACTATCTTCATATAAATTAATAATTACAATAAGTTGAATTTAATATGTATAATTTAATTTTTTGAATAGTGTGGAGATAGTCCCAATATCAAGAGATAGTATAGTATGTCTTCCAAGAAAATTAAGTCATCAACTTGGAGGAATAAATTCGATTTGCTTAGTATACAAGATAACAAATTTCATACATTTAATAGATGTATCATCTGGGCAAAGTAGGTATAATTTCCTAAAATTTGATACTCTTACTCTTATTTGATTTTTAAAAATTTTCAAATTTTTAATTTATTATTTATTATTTATTTGTTTAGTTGCAGAATTAAATGCTTCACTTTATTGGAGACATGCTTTTAATAGTATTTGTGATCCAAAGCAATTAATAGAATATACAGTAATGGATATTGAACAAATAAAATTTAAAGATAGAAAATTTTTTCCTGGACAAGGAACTATTTCAGATAAAGTATATATTATATATTAAATAATTTAAAAATTAATCATGAATATCATGAATGTTATTAAAAGAATACATTTATAATATTCTCTTTGAAGCAATTACTTATTTTTTAATTAATTTTTTTTACTTTTAGCATGTAATAGCAGATGTGTGGTTAGTTAGAAGTTGTGATTTAGGAATAAATGATAATTTAATTCATACACGCACTCATCTTGGTCATGTATTAAAACCTGGCGATACTGCTTTAGGGTAAATTATTATTTTATCAGATAATTAGTACTTTAAAAATTAAAAAATGATTTTTATTTTTAGATATGCTCTTAATGACAGTAATATTAATGATAAAAATTTTGAAATATTAAATAAAGATTTAGTCCCAGATATAATTTTAACAAAGAAGAATTATATAAATGATAGAGCTGCGCGACGCAGAATGAGAACTTGGAAATTAAAACATATGTTATCGGATAAGGACAATATGACTACAGATAATAAGTAAACTAATTTTTTATTTAAAAATAAAAATTTTTAAATTTAGAAATAGAAATAAATAGTATAATTATAATAGTATAAATAGTATAATTAGTATAAATTTTCTTTTTTTCTTTTGTAATTAAATTAAATTATATTTTAAAACTCAAAATTATATTATAATCTATGTTTTAGTGATTATTATGAGTTTCTGGAAGATATTGAAGAAGATCCAGAAATGAGACAAAACATAAATATTTTTAAAGATCGCATGAAGACAATTCCAATAGACACAAATGAGTTATCTGATCCTAGTTGTCCACAAATTACTCTTGAAGAAATGCTTGACGATCTCGCTATTGATGATATTGAAGTACCTCATATTTTGTGATAATAATTTTAATAAAAGTGTAATATGTAAAATTATATCTATCACTTTTATTCAATATATTTTAATAATAATATTTCAAAACAAAACAAAAATTATATAAAAATTATATAAAAATTGCATGTTATTTTAAATGATACATTTATCATTAATGGAATATAATTCATTATTCAGAAGATATTTCTATTTATTATATTTTATTTTTTATCATATATTTTTTATTATATTTTGATATTAATATCAAAAAGACATGAATTGTTACTTAAATTATTAAATCTTATGATTAAACTCAAATTCTTTTTTGTAAAACATTAAAATTAAATTAAATAATATTAATTTAATAATATCGAATATATTGAATAATTTCCTATTGCTTCTTGAGTAAACTATTCGCTCGCTGTTTAATTAAGAATACGAATGTTAAGAGTAATTGTATGTGATTCGAGAATAATTTTCTAATACAATTTTCATTTTCAAATGGATTTGCATTCAATTATTTATAAACTTATATATATATATATATATAT